AAATTAAGTGCTACACATTCAAAGTCTAAAGCTGAGACTTTTGCATATGCATAATGTCACCTGTGAGTCAGATTTGTCTTTTAGACCACATTTGCACAACTGAGAAGATACTATCAACAGTTGTGTCTGCCAATAAGAAGGAAAAAAGAAGAAAAACAGTGAGACAAACCAGTGGTTTCTTATCAAGATCATAATCTAAAGGAGGGCTTCTCAGGGGGAGAAAGGAAGACTGTCAGAAATATGAGTGATTTCTCAAACTATATAAGCAGAGTCAACATTTAGCCAAAAAGCATGTGCAAAAAAGGAACACCAGAGATTCTATTCAGTAATGATGTATCAAACATCATCCCTATATATAGAAGATTTTTTCCTAATTCCATGAGAGTCTGGTTGCCTATAGTCACACATAACTCACATTTATGCCCACAGGTGCTCTTATTCTTATACAGGAACATTCCCACTCACATTCTAACGCTGTCTTTCACACTCACACCCATGTTCAATAACATTTCCAATCCTACACCAGTAGACACTGATCAAAATTCTATAGAAATTTACAATAGTTGCTAAAAATTTTTCTTTTAAGAAAAAAATATATTTTTCAATTGCCAGCAGGTGGATAATGGACTTAATGTTTTGAGAGGTTTTCAATTCGATAAAATCTGGCAGCCATTTTTAGTCCACATTGAGCCATTCCTATCTATTTAGAATACAATTTTATTTTATAAATGTGGCCCAACAAAACAATTTCAGGAACACAATTATTCATCTAAATACTGTAGCTTTACAATTCAGCAAAATCCAATGTTTGCATATTTTTTCCCCTCTGAGACTGTATAAATTTTGATAAAAGCTTTTTTGCTTTTCCCCCATCTCTTTGAAAATTACTCACCTGATACACTCACTTTACCCATATGAAAAGTTTCAAGCGTCTGATTTTTAAAAGAAATAGAAGAAACTGGAGTATGGATATCTTAAATCCTAGAATCAAAGTGGGGAAAGGAGCATACTAACACTGATTGAGATGCAGCATTTGTGCCAGATCCCACAATAGGTGTGATATATACAGATTCTCATGTAGAAAGCCCTTGCTTCTATTCTTGCTACTGAGTACAAGGGGCAGTGACATCTTGGATGCCAGTTAATTGCTATGGTTCAAAGCTATTTTTTTGAAACTAAGCCCAACTAAATTACCTATGTTGTCATTTCCAGATTTAAATTTAAATAATTGTCTAGAAGTAACAGTAACTTATTTACTCATATTATAACTTTACTGACAAAATAATATTAATGCAAGTGTTGTGGTCTACAACAGTCTTTTATGTTCTTTCTTCAGCATGTTTTAGGATTTTCCAGAACCTATTTTTCTTTGATAGAATTTTCTTTCTTTTTAATGGATAAATGAAGACTACATGTTATTATTGCTAAGTGCCTGCCTTCACTCAAACCCAATGTAAAATAGTCGGTAAACATTTTATAGTCACTACTACTAATAAAGTGCTCTCACATTTAGTCCATTTATCTGTATGTAATGGAGACCCACAATATTCAAAGAATTAATGAAGACCTTCTAAGTTTAGAATTCCTTGATTGAAAAAGGACGTGATAATTTTGAGAAGTTTAGGGCACTCACCCTTTCTCCCCCAAACTGACATTCAGAAGTGTCACAGATGGAGATCAAAATACCAGTTATATATTTGATAAAAGCCGAACTGCAAAATTTGTCTTAGATAATCAAGACACAACAGGGTATCATAACACTTTATTGCTGTTTGGTATCCAGAGTGTTTACCCAGCCATGTGCATAGCAAGGGTTGCAGACCTCTCTGCATTATGGGCCGTGAGCCCCATCATAGAAGACAGAACACATTCATCCAAAGAAGAGGTCACTCCAAGGAGTGAAGACCCAGAAAACCTTAAGCTCTGTATCAGAATTTCCTTCTCCTAGGCTCATCAATTAGCCAGGTTGCTCCTTAAATGGATAGGTATGTGAAACAACATGCAGAGGAAGAGCTGAAAGATTTTTGAATACCCTCCCTATGGTGGAATGGAAATTTCCTATCTTTTGAAGAAGTATGACAAGTGAGTACTCACATTTCTTTTTAGTGGTCATGTCTGAAGAACCTCAACACCCAATTGCCTTAGCCTTCATGAGGCTGCAAAAGGAAGACAAGATTTCTCTTCCACTTGAAGGCTGTGTAATTCAAATGTAATACTTTCCTCAACAATAAAAAGAGGGAAAAAAATGTCTACATTGTAGACATTATTGTCAGAACTAAATAATCTACTTGATATCAAACAATTAGCATGCAAATGTTACCTAGGAAGTAGTGATTATCTTTGAATAGGCGGTATAGCCTTGAAGGGAAAACTGTCTTTGGACAAAAGTGAATTTTTAGTTATGGATTTCCTCTTTGTTAGCTATTGGACTATGAGCAACTTAAAGAACTTTTAAAATTTTTATTCATTTATAAAGATGATGAGTTTTTTTAACAACAAAAATCTATGTGAACAATGGAAATTGTTAAAGCTAGATCATGACCTATATTCATTAAATGGTAGCAATTATTTTCATAAGAAAATGTTCAGATTTGGAAGTCTGCTTGTACAGTCAATTGTCAGTTGTCATTTGTTTGTTCACTCAGAAAGAAGTCTCATATATTCTTAGGTTAACTATTGTGCACCATGTCTGTTCTAGGCATCTGAAGTACATCAGTGAGATCAACATTAAAAGATCTAAGTCATAGCAGAACTCAGATGTCAACAGACATTTAATTGTTAGCTGTCATTATATAAATGGAATTTAAACTGACAAAAGTTCTTATTCCATTTATCACGTAAATAGTAAAGATCGTTTTGTGATAATTTTATATTGATGGTCGATTTTCTTTTCCTAAAATGTGTACACTGGGAAGTTAAAACCTGTACCCACATACAAATATAATATCTGAATAGTAAAATTTTCATGACACTAAAACTGTCCTTATTTCCTTTTGATCAAAAGTACGTAGTTTTTGAAAAATTTGAGAGGTCATGGGTCTAAGAATCAGATCTAAAAATCTGTATTGTAACTTGACTCCATGAAGATAATAGAAGTGAAAGTTCTTCATCACCTAGAGAAGTAAAACTCACAAATGTGAAATGAGATCAAAATAATAAATTGAACAACAAAGACATAGATATGCAGTGGAAATGTTCAGCATCAGAGATCCCTAAAAAATTTTCAGAACATGGAGAGAACATGGGATGGGATATCACCATTTAGAGAAAAACCAACATGGTAGCAAAGACAATATGAAGCTTTGAACAACAAGAGATTTTAAAATAGCAGCAGTATATGCTCAATTCTGACTAGCTTTGTATAATCTACAGACATCTGTTTAATTTCATATCTTTTCCTGCTTTATTCAGTTTACAATATTAAGAGCAGTAGCTTCTAGGTAGCTGAGTTTCTGGAGTATAAGACTCCACTTTTTGAAAATGGATGAAAATGTATAACCCTCTTTATATATTTCTTGCACCTTTCTTGCTAAATTCTCTCTTTTTTGAGAATGATATAAATTTTTTATCAAGACAAATGTGTGGCTTCGTTTCATATCTGCTTTTATTTGGCTATTGCTAATTTAGCTGGCAAAGAGTATTCAGGGTTTTTGTTTTACGTAAAGCAAACTATAGTATTAATATTTCCATTTATTTTTAAACTAAAAGATGGCATTTTCTTCTCACTTCTTAACAGGATGCAAACACTATTTATGTATTCAATGAAAGGTAAACTAATTTTTTTACTCGTTAATAATTTAAAGGCATTGTTTTAATAAGCTATCCAGGTCTGTGAAAAGCAAAGCAAAACATAGTAACAGTTTTGCCAGAAGAAAAAATAAAGAACAGATATTTCATGAGAAAGACATGGAAATAAATACAAGAGAAAAATAGAGTACTGAGAAGGAGTGAACTACATTAATATCAGTAGTTCTCAACTGGGAGTCATAACTATTAATACAAAATTTGCCTAAGAGGGGAGAGAGCCAGCTATCATGTGAGTAAATCTAGAGGACTTGGCCCAGAAAAATGGTTTATGTGATAGTTCACCCTAGGAGCCGAGCATTCACTAATGCACCAGTCTTCACTTGACGGAGCATTTCCCATTACTGGCTCCCAGAACATTTGCCACGTGACTCCCCATACATGCCCAAAGAGGATGCCCTTGCAATCCTAACTAGCTTATTTCCTGTCCATCAAAAACAAAGCCCATCTATGCCAAACTTGAATTCTTCTCTGTCTCATTTTTTATAACCAATGTGGACTCTCTCCTTCTAATATCTAGACAACCAAAGGCTTCATGAAGAGTTAGAATCCTGTGTGATCAGTGGGATGGAACTGAATAGGTATCAAAACTTGAATTTGGAAGTAGGATGAAGATAGCACAGTAAAGAATATCCTATTATATTAGCACTTAAAAACAAACAAAAAAAGCAATTGTAAAGCAGCCACCCATTTTGTCAATCTATTTTTAGTTATAAACAACATCCAGTTGAGTTCATTAGGTTTTCTAAACTTGGCTGTAAAATAATTCTAGAGTGACAATGGTAACATCAACTCCAGAATTACACATCCTTGTTTTTTTTTTTTTTTTTTTTTAAATGGATTTAGGTTCATAGGACAATTGTATTGCATAGACATAGTGCACAGTGGTACAGTCTGGGCTTTTAGTGCAGTTGTCACCCCAATAATGTGCATTGTACCCAATTGGTAATATTTCATCTCTTACTCTCATTCCACACTCTTATATGTGGGAGACTCCTTTGTCTTTTGTTCTACTCTGTATGTCTATGTTTACTCATCACTCAGCTCACACATATAAGTGAGAACACGTGGTTTTTGCCTTTCTGTTTCTGAGTCATTTCATCAAGGATAATGGCCTCCAGTTTTATCCATGTTGGTGCAAAAATTATGATTTCATTCTTTTTCATGCCTGAGTAGTATTCTGTGAGATATATCTATAACTTTTTTAACTTTTATGTTCCAGAGTACTGGTGAAGGTTTGTTTCATAGGTAAACTTGTGTCACAGGGGTTTGTGGTAAAGTTTATTTTGTTACTCAGCTATTAAGCCCAGTATCCAATAGTTGTTTTTTCTGCTTTTCTCCTCCCTACCACCCTCCACCCTCAAGGAGACCCCAGTGTCCATTGTTTTCTTCTTTGTGTTCCTGAGTTTTAATCATTTAGCTCTCCATTATAAGTGAGAATATGGAGTATTTGGTTTCCTGTTCCTACATTACTTTGCTAAACATAATAGCCTCCAGCTCCATCCATGTTCTCACAACAGACATGATTTCATTCTTTTTTTATGACTGTATAGTATTCCATGTTGTATATGTACAACATTTCTTTATCCAATCTGTCATTTATGGGAATTTAGGTTGATTCCTTTTCTTTACTATTTTGAATAGTGCTGCAATGAACATTCATGTGCATGTGTCTTTATGGCAAAATGATTTATATTCCTCTGGTTATATGCCCAGTAATGGGATCGCTGAATCGGATAGTAGTTCTGCTTTTAGATATTCGAGGAATCACCATACTTCTTTCCACAATGGTTGAACTAATTCACACTCCATCCAACAGAATATAAATGTTCCTTTTTCTCTGCAACTTAGCCAGAATCTGTTATTTTTTGACTTTAATAATAGACATTCTGACTGGTGTAAGATGGTATCTCATTGTTGTTTTGATTTACATTTCTCTAATGATCAGTGATATCATGGTTTTTAAATGATTTTGGCTGAAAAAAAAAGATTTTTTCCTTTTGAAAAGTGTGAGTTCATGTGTTTTGCCCACTTTTTAATGGCGTTTTATTTCTTTAAATCACATTTTTTATACAATTATGAAATACTTATGTTCATTCCATGACTTTGCTATTATGAATAGTGCTGCAATAAACATATAAGTGAGGGTGTCTTTTGATGAAATGATTTATTTTCTTTTGGATAAATACCTGCTAATGAAATTCCTAAAGCATAGTTCAGTTTTTATTTATTGATAAACTTTCATACTGATTTCTATAGAGGCTGTACTAAGATTCTCACCAACAGTGTATACGCATGCCTTTTTCCACATCCACATCAACCATGGTGAAACCCCATCTCTACTAAAAATACAAAAATCAGCTGGGCATGGTGGCATGTACCTGCAGTCCCAGCTACTCAGGAGGCTGAGGCAGGAGAATCACTTGAACCCAGGAGATGGAGTTTGCAGTGAGCTGATATCACACCATTGTACTCCAGCCTGGTGACAGAGCAAGATTCTATAAAAAAAACAAACAAACAAAACAAACAAACAAACAAAAAAAACCAGGAGGAAGAACCCTCCCTAACTCATTCTACAAACACAGCATCACCCTGATATGAAGCTAGGCAAGGACACAGCAAAATAAACAAACTACAAAGCAATATCCCTGATGAACATAGATGTAAAAATCTTCAACAAACATTAGCAAAACAAATTTAACAGAACATGGAAGAGATAACATGCCACAATTGAGTGGGTTTTATTCCAGGGTAGCAAGGTTCATTCAACATATACAAATATGATTCAACATATGCACAATAAATGTGATTCACCACCTACACAAAATTAAAAGCTAAAACCATATAATTATATCAGTAAATACCTAAAAGGCCTTCAATAAAATCCATCATCCCTTCATGATACATACTTTTACCAAACTAGCTTTGGAAGAAACATACCTCAAAATAATAAAAGGTATGTAGTACAAACCCACAGTCAATGGTACACTAAAAAGGGGAAAGTTTAAAACATTCCATCTCAGAATTGGAACTAGGCATGAATGCCTGCTATTACCACTTCTACTTAGCAGAGTACAGGAAGTCCTAGTCAGGGTACAGGCAAGTGAAAGAAACAAAAGGCATCAAATTGGAAAAGAGAAAGTCAAATTATCTCTGTTTATTGATATCATCTTATAAGTAGAGAATGCTAAAGACTCTCCCAAAAAACTCCTAGATTTGATAATTTACTTCAGTAAAGTTTCAGGATACAAAATTAACACAAAAATCAGTAACATTTCTATATATCTATTACAATCAAGCTGAGAATCAAATCAATAATCCAATCTCATTTACAATAGCTACAGAAATACCTATAACTGTATTTAACCAAGGAGGTAAAAGATCTCAAGGAGAGCTACAAAACACTGATGAAAAAATCATAGATTACACAAACAAATGAAGTAGCATCCTATGCTTACCGATTTAAAGAATCAATAACACTAAAATGAACATACTGCCTAAAGCAATTGATAGATCGAGTGCAGTTCCTATCACATTACCAACAGCATTCTTCACAGATTTAGAAATAACAATCCTAAAATTCATATGGAACTAAAAAGCACCCAAATATCCAAAGCAATTCTAAGCAAAATGAATACAGTTGGAGATATCACATTACCTAATTTCAAACTATACTACAAGGCTATAGTACCCAAAGCAACATGGTCTTAGTATAAAAATAGACGCACAGATCAATGGAGCAGAATAGAGAACCCAGAAATAAAGCCACATACCTACAACCAACAGATATTTGACAATGAACATGCACTGGGGAAAGGACACCCTCTTTAGTAAATGGTACTGGAAAAATTGGATATCCACATGCAAAAAAAATAAAACTGGACACCTATCTCTCGCTATATTCAAGTTAACTCAGATGGTGTAAAGACTTAAATGTAAGATCTGAAACTATAAAAATTTTATGAGAAAATCAGGAAAAAACTTTTCTGAACATCGGTCTAGACAAAAAATTTATGACTAAGTCCTCAAAAGGAAATGCAATAAAAACAAAAATAGACAAATGGGGCTTAATTAAACTAGAATCTGCAAGGACCTCAAACAGCTCATCAGATAGAAAAGCACATCTTCAGTTTTGAAGTTCAGTGAAAGCTGATGGGACCACTCTGGGTGAAGTGTGCATCACTAAGCAGTAATTGTGGCTAAGGTAAAGTCTAGGTAACAAGCTCCGTTCCTAGATCCTGGGATGATGTCAAATTTATCAGAAACATAAACACTGAGAAAGCAGAAGGGTGTAGATTCCCATAGGAACATCCTTTAATTTTTTCTTTTTTAGTTCTGAACAAATGGTACATAAATCTTTTTGCAGTAAGAGAAGACTTGTTACCATAAAGATACCAAAAGAAAATACAAAAATTTAATGATATATTACTCAGAATTTTATTTTTAAGCTTGATTAAATGTTTCCAAAGTTTATATGGAAAATAAAATGCAGACAAAAAGAAAAATCTTGAAAAAGTGGGTCGGCCGCATGACTCACGCCTGTAATCCCAACACTTTGGGATGCAGAGGAGGGTGGATCACTTGAGGTCAGGAGTTCATGACCAGCCTGGCCAACATGGTAAAACCCCATCACTACTAAAAACACAAAAATTATCCAGGCGTTGTGGCACATGCCTGTAATCACAGCTACTCAGGAGGCTGAGGCAGGAGAATCGCTTGAGTCTGGGTGGTGGAGGTTGCAGTGAGCCAAGATTTCGTCACTGCACTCCAGCCTGGGTGACAGAGTGAGACCCCATCTCAAACAAACAAACAAAATAGAAAAAGAAAAAGTGAAACAGTGAGTTTAAATTTTTCATACTCAAAATTAAAAGTTGATATAAGCAAACAAAATAAAAACTACCATAGTATCCGTGGAGAGGTAGGCAAATAGATACATGGAAGAGGGTATAGAACTAGGAACAATTAAGATATAAATGAAAGAGATAGCAATACAGTTAAAGCAAGAACTTAAATACACAGGAAATTTAAATGGGTCAGCAGATTATTCATCTGTAAGACAATAATTTATATCCATACTTTGCAAAGTATTCCAAACAAATCCAATATAGATTGGATACCTCAACAAGGTAATAACAGTAATAATATTGCCACTTAGTTAATAATTATTGAATGTTCAGATCATACCAAGAGCTGTTGTAATCATTGTTACCAGTAAGTCAGTTATTCTTCCAACCAGTTTTCTTTTGTCAGTAAAGGAACTAAAGTGCTGAGAAGTTCAATCATTTGCTGCTAGTATGGATTTAAAACTTTGAACAAAGCAGATACTGTGCCCTTTATAATTATTTTATTGTAAATCTATAAAATTTTAAAAGATAGAAATATTGTATTATGGCCAGGCGCGGTGGCTCAAGCCTGTAATCCCAGCACTTTGG